GTGGGGTTTCCTCTGGGTACTCTGGTTTTCCCCCACAGTCCAAAAACATGCTGAAGTTAATTGGACTTCCCAAATTGCCTGTACTGTAGGTGTGAATGATGTGTGTGTGTCCTGCAATGAGTCAGCACCCAATCCTGGGTTGTTCCCTGCTTTGTGCCTGTAACCTCTGGGATAGGCTGTGGACCCCCCGCCACCCTGATTAGGATAAGCAGATGGGTTTTTAAAAATAAAATTAACAGTATTTCTACTCTGAAAATATTAATGTAGTGGTAATGACATAGCAGAAATAAATTGATTCATGCTACCTTTCAGTTCTGTTAGTATTCTGAGCATGACATAGCTATTATTTTCATAGTAAACATTGATATTGTGATTATTAATCTAGTTGAATAAACAGGAGTGGCTTTATCCTTTATTCTGTTTTCCTAGGCAATTGAGAGAGGAGTGTTCTTTGAGATTAGCTATGCTTCAGCAATCAAGGACTCGACCATGAGAAGATACACCATCTCTAACGCCATCAATCTGATGGAGACATGTAAAGGAAAGGCAAGTGTGATGCAACAATGATGCTGATGTGTGTATTCATAGATTCTGTTTAAAGTTCCCCTTTTTTAATTCTCCTTACAGAATGTAATTGTATCTAGTGGGGCTGAAATGGTAAGTTCCATCTTGTCAAAATATTGGCATACAAAAAAGGATGACATTACTATGAGCCCAGTGTGTTTTTTTTTCTCACTCTCTAATCACCTGACAATTGGAACAGAGGCAGCTACACTTGAGTATTTTGCTGTTTTCCTGTATTGTTAAAGAAATTGACAAAGTGTGATCTATTCAGAAATATTGAATTTGAACATCAAACAGCAAATCAAACTTGTGTACAATCTTTCTTTTTTTGCCTTTGGATCTTTATACCAAATTTACATTAACCGTGGTTTTCTCTGTTTCAAGCCCCTTGAGTTAAGAGGACCTTACGACATCGCAAATTTGTATCCTTTCTGGAAAACGGGTGTTTGTCAAAGATCTGTTCAGTTTTATTACTTGATAAAAGTCAGTATATCGATCCGTCTTTTATAGCTGCGGGTCCTATGCAAGGTGGCAGAAATTCCTCAGCAGCAAAGAGCGAACATGCAGTCCCCACACATGCAGAGCCTGGGCGGAGGCTCAAACCCTGGTCCCAGAGATGTCAAGTGGCAGTGTTAAGTTAACCTCTGACCACCATGCCTCCCAAGTCAATTTACCTAATTGGAAATACAAACGTGTTTATTCATTAAATTCCCTGTAATTTTTATGCTTCTATTTTTATTGCTTCTGCTTCTTCCCTACTAGAAGCTTCTCTGCACCGCTAAGCTGCAGTGTGTAAGTTCACAGCAGTTTTGTGTTGCCAGTCATTAAGGACATGATCTCTGCTACAATGAGCAGCCTTTTGTAAGGTCTGATGTTCTGAGGTCATTAGTTGCCCGCTGCCGATCTGGCTGACCCCGGATCCGTACCGCGTGGATGAAGTACCGCTATGATCCTGAACTGGGGGCTCAGGGGGCTGCTCTTCGGACTGTCTGAGGGCGATGCCAAAGCTGCCGTTTCTACCAACTGCCGCGCCGTCCTGTTGCACGGAGGTACGACTGCATGACTCCAATAAGGCATTCATTTCAGCCCTCGGGCTGTATTTCAGTGACCTGCCGCTATTCATTCTGCCGCTTGTTTTGATGCGTCTGGAATGTGGCGAATGGGTCTCTTCAGCTGACCGTAAAGCCCGCCTGAGGCTCCTGTTCTACCTGTTAAGTACAAGCGGGCTAATGTACTGCTTTTCCGCAGAAACCCGAAAGACTGCCCTGGGGATCATACATACAACGAAGAGGATGCTACCCGCTGCAGAAGGGCAAGACGAGGACAGGGAACCTCCGGTGTCAAAGAAAGCCAAAGTTCACACCGTGTGACTCGAGTTTATCCTGATTATTACTATCACAGGAGTTTGGAACGTTTTCGATCCCATACCGGAGAACTTTAAGAGCAGTTTATTTTTAAAAATGTATTTTTTGCGTATTGCTCAGATTTTAATCTGAAGTGTGTAATAAGTCTGTTATGATGACTGATCTATGGGCAGTCTGTATGAAATGAGTTGTGTTTGGATGCGTAAACATGACTACGTTGTGGCATTCATAAGGATAAAGAGCAGCCTAATTTTGGAAGTATATAAATATTAAGAAATGTATACAAGACATAAGACACAAGAAGGGTGTTCACACAAGAAAAATCAGTTAAAATGTTTATTTAAAACTAAATATTCAAATAAAATGTACATAGCATTTTACATTAAGTACAAAAAATTACTGTGACTTCAGCAAGTGCATTAAATCCCAAATGTGTCCATGTTCGTCTCTCTGAATCTTTCCAGTTTGGACGACAGCCTTCCCCTGCTCAGAACATTCTACAAACCACTTTGTTTGGTTCTTGTAAACATACTGTTTACATTTTTCACCAGCCTGTTGTCAGTCCTAAATTTGTCTTGCTTTTCAAGGACCACGCCCACGTATTATTTCCACGTAGTGCTATGGTGATAGCAGTTGATCTATAAAAATAAAGTCCCTTATTTGTGTTACTTGAAGGACAAAGCATGAGTATGTTATTTAGATCTCATCTATATTCAGCAGCCCAGTTTCCCAAACCAGCATTCTGTTGCCAGCTTTTCATGGCACACGTCCCTGCAACACTATCACCAATTAAGTTTATTAATAAAAAGATATTCTCTGCACGCATGATCAACTGCGCCTTCTTTCCAAGTCAGCCCGTCTCGAGACAATATTGGAAACGTCAGTTGAAAAGGGTTGTATACAATGGTTATTCCATTACCAGTATGAACTTTTGTCTGTATTGTCTGTCTACATGTTAAAATTGCCAAGAATATTTTTAGCTCCGCTTTGCCATTCCAGAAGAGTTTCCATTGGCGTTTTCCCTTCCTGAAATAAAATTGAGTTTTAATATACAAATCTCCGATATTATTACTGTGAAATCTTTATTTTGTCATCGTCTCTGGTTTGTATCCCAAATATGCAATACGTAACCCAAAAAAAGGTTTTACATTAAAACGTTTCCTTTCCCCTACCACTAGATGGCACTGAAGTACACTGTCGTTACTACGTATATTGTGTGTGTGTGTGTGTGTGTGTATATATATATATATATATATATAGTATAGGGTCTTAGTGAAAATCCAAAGGTGAAAATTTAAATCCTCATAAAATTTCTTAATAAATGAACTAAATATTACGCCACATCATTGTGGTCATGCTCATCCTGCGTGGGGACAGGGCGTGTGTACTTACACAGTTCCTAATGCTCAGCTTGGCTCCATGGAGCAGAAGTAGTTCGATCATTTTAAATCTGTTCAGTCTCACGGCATCGTGAAGGGGCGTGTCTCCATCCTAGGTGAACACAACCGAAAATGACCTTAAGGGCCTTTTTTTTTTAACATCACCGGTTTGCTTTAATGCGAAGACTTGTGCACTCACTCTGTCTTTGGCGTTGAAGTCCGCGCCGCAATGAATTAAGTATTCAGCGCACTCGTAATGTCCGGTTCTGACAGCGACGTGCAGAGGGGTGCTGTGTAGCTGGGAAACAGACCGGGGGGAAAAGCTGTTAAGTAATCTGCACCTGGCCTTTAGCATGCAAATGATAGCCCCCTCATCATGAGAATCATGTCCCTGCCATTATTACCTTATCCCTGGCTCCGATCTTGGCGTTATGACTGAGCAGCAGCTCCAGTGTGGGTAGATGTCCCCCCCGACAGGCCCAGTGGGCAGCGGTGCACTCCAGCTGTGAGAGGACCAAATCATACGTGAGACATGCGGCCGACGGCTCGCGCGATATCCCAAATCGCGTCTCTCCGCTGGTACCTTATCTATGTCATCGATGCAGGCTCCCGCCTCTAGGAGCTTCCTGCCGATCTCCACGTGGCCCTCGGAGCATGCCCGGTGCAGCGCGGTCCGCTTGAACTTAGAGGATTAAAAGAAGGGGGAGAACGCTTCCTATCAGCATTATTCTGTCAGACAGGGGCATCGGAGCGGCGTGCCACTGTGTCTGTCACTGAAATGCTCACATGGTCGCAGACGCTGGGGTTTCCACCGTCGGCCAGATATTTCTCGATCACCGGCAATTTGTTTTCGGCAGCCGATTTGAGGAATGTCACCTCATCCACCACGTCGGGCTGTGTGAGATTCAGATGGTAAGATTACCTCCTCAGTAAATTACCATAGCTTCTTACTAGAAGAAGGCACGGACGTTCAAGGCACAGGTTATTTCCTAACATGAATTGAGCGATGCCACTCTGGTCCCGGCCGCCTGCAAAAAAATAAAGGGTCTGGTAATGATTATTCCTCTTACAATGAAGTCTGGCTCTGGATCTTTGATACGCGCTGGCACCTTCTTCGTCCTCTTCCTCTTCTTGAGCAGCAGGATGTTGTGAAGGTCCTCTACGGTCTCGAGCTTCAAGCGGCCCGCACTGTCAACCTAGCAGAGAACAGGCTTTTTAGAAACTGCCACGGGAACAGAAACTACTACCGTTAAAAATTACCAATAAAGTGCATTTTTATAATTTGCTAGGTTGTCCATTGGGCAGCCAAGTACGGTGCATTTGAAACGTATATACAAGTTCTAGGTAAGTTATGTTACTTATGGCTGTACCTTAAAATACTTTTGATTATAGTTTAAAAAGCAATTATGTCTGCTACAGCAAAAACATAAATATAATTACTATAAATTTATGTTTGTTAATGAAAGCTCCAGCAAAACCAAGCTGGACGTACTTTTAAAGAGTCCAAATTGAATTCATTAGCGCCTTCTGGGACGGCCGTCGCTCTTAAGTGGGATCTGACGCCATCCTGCTTCTCCGTGTTCATCGTCGCCTCATACTGCCCCCGGACAAACTGCCCCGGGTGGAACTCGCTCTTCTCTTTGCCCTCGCATTTCTTGCCGGAAACCTTTGAAGAGAAGGTTAAAAGTGTGATTTCCCTATGTAGGGATCCCAAAGCCTAACCCTGTCCCTGTCCTCATTACCCCAGGCCAGGGTCACCTTATGATACAAGTTCTCTGACAAACGCGAGAGCAGAAGCACCGGAGAAGTGAAAGTGAGAAAGAAGATGCCATTTACGCCACACTGGCTGAACATCATGTGCCTTTCAGCAATTTCCGACTGTTTTATCAATTCTAGATCCATGATCCCACTTCCATGCTACTACATTCCTGAAATTAGTTTAAATTACTGAAAAGAACCAAAATGTGGCCTACGTGCTTTAAAAAAAACAACAGACATATGGATGTGTGATGCAACAAAATCAATTAGTAGTTCAGGATAAACGATAGCTTCTAATTGAAATTGTAATCCGTTGCGGACTAAAGCCTCCCTTCCCCCCAGGGTTAAATATGTAGTTCTTGGAGTATCTATATGAAAACACTTGCTATGATTAACTAAGGCAGCGTGCTATTAGTGTGAACACTGTCGATGTGATTTTAGCAGCCGACCCTTCTGAATTTGCTCTGCTCCAGCTGCTAAGCAAGGAGCTCTGAATTTTTTTCCCAAGTTATTTGAGCATATCCTTCAGATCAGAATTCCCCCTTAGTGCTGCTAATCAACAGGATGTACATTAAATCAAGATGAAGATGTTTCCACAAAACGATATGGGGTTAGTTTCAAGGATGACGGAAAAAATGCTATGTATTCAAGGTCGGTTCTAGCTTTGTTGAGACCACCTACCAGCTCTTGGACAATCCCCATGTCTGCTCTGTGCTGAGTGATCCTCTGTGAAGTTTGTCTTATCCAGTCTGTGCTGCTGTGTCTCAGTCAAGGACCTTTTATATGTGTTATGAACCCACGAATGAGATCATGCACCAACCTGGGTCTCCGGCCACCTCCCACCCACGAGAAAGGTGCCTCGTCACATGGGGGGGGGGGGGCAGTTGACCACAAACTGATGTCACCCGGATTTTTGAAGGGGGATGCCATCAAATCTCCTTCCTTCCTGACAGCATGAGTCGGTCTGAAACCCGAATCTGGACAATGCTTGGTGGCCGTGCGCGGTGACCAAAGGGTCTAGATATATGGGCTCTCCTTTCATGTCCCCTGCATTCGCACGGGACAGCTGACGCCTGACTCGTGACGGCAGGACGCCGCGTTGCGTGGGGATAAAACGGGAAAGGATTGCTCAGCAAACATTACAGCATCCATCAGACTATTTATAAAAGAAAACCAGTCTTTCTGTCTCCTTGCCTCAGGCACTGAAAACTTTCATCCAAATGAATCTGTCACATTTCCTGTTTGCTTGTGTGATCTAAAGTTTCTGATGGGCCATGCATTCCTTTGGTGCAAATAAAAATGATCACACATCCATATGTCTGAAATAGGCCATCGTAAATTATACACACCGTGAAGTGAACAGCAAACTAGACAGCAGTCAGTTAGCACATGCGAACATAATCACTTTGACAAAACTGTATCTGAATATATTCAAGGTTAGTGAATGTACTAGTGATATTCCTTCTTATGAACTCTCCGTTTGTGTGCAATACATACAACATACTAAATAACATTACATTCAATTTTTAGTTTTTTAATTTACACTTTTCAATTTCCATATTAGGTAACTAGTGGTTTTGAAGATACAAAGAACATTTTAGTGTCGTATAAACTACATTGTACTTTGACACTTAAACTGATCTGTTTATACCCAATCCCAACACTAAAGTGTACTACTGTAAGTTGTCCAGCTTGTCATGCAATGAGAGACGAAAGACTCGAGGGCAGGCAAACAAAGGGAGGTTTATTGAAATCAAAAGAACAACCACTGGAATTAAACAAGATCGCAAGGGATCAAACATGGGAAGAGTGAAGCAAGGAAGAGCGCAGGCCACATGAGGGTTCGACGTCAATGACCGGACAAGCGAGGACGAGACAACGGGGCACTTAAATTTATAGACTATTGCAACAAGTATCAGGTGTGACCCATGAGGTCCACGTGAGGGAGGAAACCAGAGGGTCAGGCAGACGTGTTCAGGACGTGACACAGCTGAAATCAACACACACGTGACAGCTCACATATTATTTGGAACAGTTGAACTTGTTCACCTTGACCTTTAATAATTACCATGTGTTGTAGATTCATCTTTAGATGCCTGGGCAACGTAATTCTGATGAGGACTCGTCAGATGCCCAACTGTCCAGTTCATGAAAATTTTATGGATAGTAATTGGTTTCTGAGTATCGTTCCAAAGGGGGAGAGATTTGTTTTAATTTACAGCCTCTATCAGGCAGAAATATGTGCCATTTTTTCAAGTAAAGAGATCCTTGTAAAATGAGAAGTTGTCAACAATGCTGTTTTTTTTAACACAAGTTAAATGCTGGCTGGATATGTTTTGTAATTTTAAATTAACTTGGGATAAAAAAACAAAAAAGACTCACACACTTGTTGGGAAAACACGCCACAGATATAAAACAGAAAACTTACTGAACATCTGCAAAACCCAACAGGTTTATGGACTGTGAATTGTATTATATTTTCACAAATTTCATATAATGCAGACAATAGTACTTGATCTATTAGGATATTTGCCTGAATTTTCTCAATGACTTGTCTAGATTCTGGGGCCATCAATGTGATTTATTTATTGTCTTGGTTAATCAAATGAGCCATGTTGTATGAGTTAACTGGCATATCAGGACTCCTTTCCTTCAGGCAGTAGCATCCATGTGGGAACATAATGCCCTAAAGCAGAGTTTCCCACTCCGGTCCTCGGGGACTCACAGTCAGTCCATGTTTTTGCTCCCTCTGAGCTCCCTGCCAGACAGTCCACATTTTTGCTCCCTCCAGGTCCTGGTAGGGAAAAATGGCAAAAACATGGACTTTCTGTAGTCCCCGAGGACCAAATTGGGAAACACTGCCCTAAAGGAATAGCATTACAAGCACTGTTGACTGTTCCCTCTACCTGAGTGAAGCAGTTTGTTCCCAAAGCGCCCTTCAGTCTCACTTTGATGCTGTCTGCAGTACACTCTCCTTATTTATTATGATGCAACCAATAGCATAATCTGTTGGAATTCATGAAAGACATGGAACTAAAACTGAGGAGATGATTTTTTTTCTGTCAGACAGGTAAAAGGTGCAGACAGGGACACCCCAGTGTAAAAACTGCTTTGAAGCCTGCAACCAAATCACTAAAGGAACATGAAGAATGAAAACACCCCCAGGCTAATTACATTTGCTGAAGAGTCTGGTGCATTTATCTAATGTCACATGAACTATTCATAACTTTGTTTTAAATAGAGAGATTTTATTAAAGCTATTCTATCCATCCACTCACCCATCCATCCATCCATCCATCCAAATGCTTATCCTGGTCAGGGTCACCTATAACCTGTCCCCGGCAGCACACGGCGAATGAGACCGACAGGCTGCGGTGTACCCAGAAAGCCAGCTCATCGCAGGGTCATGCAGACACTCGGCTACTACAGTAGTAAGCAGTTTAAAGTCTAAACAATAATAATCAGGGCCAACCCCCCCCAAAAGGTGACATAGGCGATTGATTAGGTGACGTAAAAGAGTAAGTGATAAAAATCAGAAGACATACCTCTGGTTGCATGCTGGGACATTGCAGATACTCTTAATACAGATTTAGTACAGATACAGTAGTTTTAATATTTCATTACTTTCCTTGTGAAACAAACGAGAGCTAGTTAGCTAGCAGGCAGATACCCTGGGCTACTGAAATGTTTGTATTATAAATTGACAAAATTTGTTTTCTGCTGCTCTACAGGGGGGGGGGGGGGGGGAGGATAGTAGCCCTGATCATCACTCTCATTTTCATACTGCTGCTCCTGGTGGGGTTCACAATAAACAAAAAAACATATAAATATTAAATTTATGCCCAGACAAAAGCATGCACACACGTACTGTATGTGCAGAAGCCATTCTGTATCTGAAAAAAATTTGTTTAGAAAAAACTAAGCTGCCGGTCAATAGTTTGCCTACAGGAATTTCCATGATGAAATATTGTGGTGCTTTTATTACCCTGTCCATCATGAGAAGTGTTGTAAAACTAAATCTGTAGCTCAGTACATGAGCTAAGAGGGTCCTGACATAAAGTTGGGTCATTCCTCGATTCCTGGTTTTAGGACTGGCCATTACTACTGACAATGGAATGTGTATCCATTCGCTGTTTTGGGCTGCAGAAAGGCAGCTGCAGCTATCAGATTTTTACCCACAGTAGTCTGTCTCTGACTGTCACAGGGCGCTTCTCCCCCATGCTACTCTATATTAGCCAAACGGCGGCGTCAGGTGGCACACGGACCGGTGCGGGGGGACGGGGGGGGAGTCTCATGATGCATCTGCCACAGGAGGAAAGCGCCCTCGTGTTTCCAGATTTCTCTCTCCATTGATCAAACAAAAATAATGGTACAGGAGTCAATGTGTAATAGCTGCGGGAATGTATGGCGCGTGCGTCTTTTTAGAGAAGTACTTTTTCAGAAAGGATTTCAGAGGATGACATATTTGTAACTCGCTCTTCATTTTAATTATTAAACAAGAAGAATACGAAATAATTAAATATTCAAATGTCAAGAGATAATGGAGTTTCTGTAAGTCATCCAATTTATGCACCTGACCACTTTCAACTGATAAAATGCACCCTAAATCCATCACTTCACGTTCCTAGATGCAAATATAAACAACATATTTGCAGAATATTTTATAAGTGCTTGATTCTGAAAGGGAACAACTGTGTGACTGGCCTCCCTGCCATCCACATCTCATACTGGCCCTACTGATGTCTCCAAATAGCTATGGCTGCTGACGTCTATGAGACATTGACGTTTATGGCCGTTAACGTCTACAACACATTGACGTCTATGGCCACAGAAGTCTACGACACATTGACGTCTACGGCCACAGAAGTCTACGACACATTGACGTCTACGGCCACAGAAGTCTACGACACATTGACGTCTACGGCCACAGAAGTCTACGACACATTGACGTCTACGGCCACAGAAGTCTACGACACATTGACGTCTACGGCCACAGAAGTCTACGACACATTGACGTCTACGGCCACAGAAGTCTACGACACATTGACGTCTACGGCCACAGAAGTCTACGACACATTGCATGCTGCGTCATCTCGTGTCATGCAGACCCTGGTCTACAAGGGTGCTTTAGGGTGTATAGCACCCTCAGATTAATAATCTTCCCCCTCAGGTGGAAGTCAATCAGACCATGTTGTTGCATAGATCATGTCCCCTCACTAATTTCAGAGGCGCCCTTAGTGATTTTGTTCTGGACCTGGCACTGCTGTAACATTGTTCACACCTAATGAGGGGGAATCCATGAAGGTGCATTATGCTGACTTATAGAAGGTATGTCAATTGCTTCATTACACCAGTGTAAATTGGAACATAAATGACTGAACAGAAATGCTTTATTAATCTCCAGTGGGAAATTCCCTTTTCGCCTACCCGATCTTCCCCTCCATGAGGCACACATACAGGTCAGTCACAGCACAGGGTCGGCCAGCATGCGGTGCCCCCGGAGCAGAGGGCTAAGGGCCCACAGACAAGTAACTGTTCGCTGAGGTGTGAACCGGCAACCTTTCAGACCACAGGCGCAAAGGGTTAGCCTGCTGAGCCTCAGCTTGGCAGCTTACAGGCGCAAAGGATTAGCCTGCTGAGCCTCAGCTTGGCAGCTTAATTAAGTCTGCTGTCCTGCACGACTTTTAGCGTCGAAGGAAATTGAAAAGGAGTTAAAATAAAGAAATATATATGTCACGGTAACCAGGAGCGTCAGTAGAGATTCCTGAGAAGGGAGGCCAAGCCTTTACTGGGGGGGGGGGGCGGCAAATAACATTTTAAAACAGCCCTAGTGACGCCCCCTGCTGGTAACCTTAGGATGTGCATGACTGGGCCCATAAGCGTGACCTGGGCCACAGGTAATTAATAACTCCAACTCTTCGCTGGTCCACGGAAATGAACCGGTGTCATAGAAGGTTGTAGCACGGCGGGGGTCTGAGCAGATGCTGCTTCCCCAGGAGGAATTACACGCCAGAGGAATGTAACACATGGGGTCTGGAGCTCCCCCCCCCCCCCCCCCCCGGGATCCCTGAAGCGTGCTCCGCATTCGGGCATCTAGCTGCCGAGAGTCCCGACTGCAGCAAGTCTCCCGTCGCCGTGGAAATGCCTGTCGCCGTGGCGATCAGAGCCCAATGCCGCCGGAGTGCCTCGGAGGGGCAACGGAATAATAATCGGTTGTCACTTGAACCGCAAGGAGCACTAATCACTGTAGCAGCAGTAAGATCTCAGTAGCGCAAATGTGATCTTGAGGCCAAAGGGGAGGTGGGGCTTGGGGGGACGGGGGGGGCAAAAGGGATGGCACAGTTGTGTCTCTCAGGTTTTTGACCGACTGTAATCGTACCCCAGTGATCTAACAGAGTGCCTGCAAGGAGGACGGTCTATGGTGCTGCCCCCATATCGGGAGGGGCGAGAAACAACAGGAGCGACTGGAGTCGTCCGCGGGGGGCACCAGGAGGCCCCTCAGCAGCACCGTCGGCCCCGTACAGGCCCTCAGGAAAACCGTCCCATCGCCCCCTTTCAACATTCATTGTACGTTATCACACATCATACAGTGAACAAAGGATCTGAAGCAGCAGCTGAACTCAGATCAGAAAATCTTGCTTAGTGTGCAAATGGGAATCTGAACAGTGCATTCATGGCATTCATTCTTGTAATTATTGTAATTCATTCTTGTAATTCATTCTTATAATTACATTCAGCATGTAATTATACTTATTCCAACAGTTATTCCAACAGTTATTATATATAGATACTGTATATACATATTTATGCTAGAATGATATTCTCATGGTGAAGGTTCTAGTTTGACTTCATCTGTCTTGGTTCTAGTTAGACATCACAGGAATTAATCAGTAATGAATGTCATATGGAGATGAATGTCTGGTAAGATGTTATCCTAGGTTGAGGTTTTTTTTTTAGAAAAAAAAAACAATAAGGGGTGTATCTACCATGATGAAACAGATCTCGTCTTCATCTTGCTCCCAGTCAGGAAATAAATCAGACCTAAAACAGAAAGAGACATCAGTGTGCAAGTTTGACTTATTTGCAGTGATGCGTCATCATCACATGACTAATTGGATGTGTTGTGATTTTGCTTTTAGCTTGAAAAAACAAGCACATGTCTCTGTCACTTTTCTATATTTCTGAATATGCAGGATTTTAATCTGATACGATAATTTTTGTCATGACTTTCAAGACGAAGGATTCGAAGGCAGGTGTTTTCGATAAATCAAAAGGGTTTTACTGAAATAAAACTAAACAAAGAAAGACTGGAAAAGAAACAGGATCACGAGAGATAAAAACAAGAGGTACTACAATGAGGAAGGACACAGGCTGACAAGGAGAGTGACGTTAATTATGGGACTGGGGAAGTTGAGACAAACAGGTACTGATATATAAAGACTTAACAAGGGGCAACAAGCAACAGACGTGGCTTATCAGGGCCACGTTAGGGAGGGGAAATAAGGGTAAGATGGGCAGAATGTAACAGTTTTATGTATCATACATTATATTTTCAGTAAATTGTACAGGAAAAAACAGCTCATGGAAGGTTTACTTGAGTTTTATTGTTAGGGAATGAAAATACAGAAACGGTAGCTAATATAGATTGTTATGTTTAGATGTCCGGGACAGAATTAGCAAATGGGAATCTGGAATGTGTGGATGGTGCTTTTACTTGCATTTCTGTTATCGAAACCTAATAAGGCTGATCTCAATGGCTTTACAGAACGACGGATGAAGTCCTACTCAGCTTGGCGGACAGCTTCATGTATTTCATGGTCTAACAGTAACAAATAACTAAGTAATGTAAAAGAGGTAATGATTCTAGAAGAAAAACCTATATACTGTAAAGGGTTGCTTTTAAGAAACAGCTGCAGTTTGCAAAGTAAACAGCAAACTTAGTTTGAAAGGCATTAAATCATACTTTCAAAGGTACAGTCAAGTTCACTGAAACGGGAATACTAATTTTGTAAAGTTCTTCAGTTATAATTAGAACATTTCCAATTTATGGTATTTTATGGAAAAAGCATTGTATTTCAAAAAGCTAGATAAAAAAATGACTGAAATGTCTGTGATTTTGATCTTTTCCAGTAAATAAAATCATATTCAGAAACATGTCCAGTTCTGGAAAAAAGTAAGAGACCACAGCAAAATTTTCAGTTTCACTCATTTCTCAATTTATGGGTATGTGTCTGTATAAAATATACATGTTTTTTTTTCTAAATCCAGCCTTCTCATTAGTGAAGGGCTTCTTCCTTGCTTTATGGGTCTTCAGTCCTGCTTCTAGAAGCCTGTTAGTTCACGAGGCACCATTGGATTTGCTGACAGCCGTCTCTGGCATTGGAAAGTCACCTCTGCCTTTTACCCGGATAGTTTTTGGACAGTGTCTCCTGCTTCATCTTATTCTTGTGTAATGTTGTCTTAGAAACTTTGAGCCTGGAAGCAACCTGCCGCCCAGTGTAGCCTTCTGCCAGCAGAACTATGATTAAGCCAGGATTTAATAATGCAGATTTTTTTTAAATATAGAGTGGTCACTTATTTTTTTCCAGAGCTGTATATATAGTTATAAAGCATTTAAACAATAAATATCCATCCATTTGACAAGTGACATTAGCTAAACCTGCATTCCTTTAACTCCCAAAGGCAGACACACGCATGCACACACATTTTCATTAACTCGAGTTGCTATGCAGCATTTAAATAGAAAGAAATTTCAATACCAAAGGGTAAGGAAATGCCTGTCTCTGTTGCCATGTTCATTTTAGCTGGTGGAATCACACAGCACCCCAGAAAAACTCCAATTTCCATCTCCGCTGCCAAGTGGCACCGCTAGCAAGGAGGAAAACTGAACCACGCTTCAGTCTTACCAGTCCATGAGAGCAACTGATGCTCAGCTGCGTGTTAGTAGTGCTGTGGCATCCATGCAGCTGCTCCACACGTAAACCTTATCAAGGAGAGAAAGATGCATACATGCAAAAAAAATATATGCGCAAACACTGACGCATGTTTTGCGAAGTCATCATAGAAGTTGAACGATTTCCACACAGAGCATCACTAGGAAACTCCTTCATGCTCATTTCTCATGCTTCAGTCCATCTGAGAATCACCATGGCTACAGCTGATGCAGCAGATTGGTCTGTTTCCCTTACGTTTCCATGGCGTAACGCGTGCTGCTTCCTTCTGCGCCCGCAGCCTGTGACTGTTGAACAGTCCCCCTGAATGAACAGTCCCCCTGAATGAACAGTCCCCCTGAATGAACAGTCCCCCTTCCACCTCAGTAAACTCTCTCTGGACACATTATTGCCATTTTCAGACACATATAGGTTTGGCTGTCAGATCATCTCCTTACCAGGCATACTTTCTGCTGAGGCCTGAAGTTGCTGTTGCCCTTGTTTGGTTAGAATGCAACCTGACCTGACCCTACCAGCAGCAATAAACCACAACTAAACTTATCTTTTGGCTCATGCAAAATTAAGCGATCTTCTTTTTATTACTCAGAAGCAGTTTTACCTTTTTTTTTCGATGACACACTTCCTGAAAGGATATTTTAACAATACAACCCCAGAACAAAAAAAAATTTGCGATCTGAAACCAAGGAGCACGTTTTTAATTAATTCGTATCACAGGATTTTTTAAATATAGTGTGAAATCATAAATTTCTGTGAGCCAGACAGCAACGGGAGTTATTTCTCACAAAAACCTCATCGTTCTGAGCAGGAACACAGCATGTTACAATATGTTTCGGTAATTTTGCACTTTGCACGCTGCCATTCGGAATCAGCAGAATTCAGCCGCAATACAGACAAATGGTGCTTCTTTGGGGACAAATGCTAAGGCTGTTTCATCCCAGCTGTCTCACAGTAATTGAATCTCACTTTCAGCTGTTTTTGAAGTTCTCTCTGAGATTCCGGACCCACCCGAGCGTAACACTGTCAGTGTGGGCCCGGTTTCCCAGCACAAACATCACCAGCATCTTTCTCTAATTCTACATGTTCAGTGGAAAAAAACATTTTTTAAACCACATACCTATGGATCACTAAATCATTTTAATACAAAGACTACTTTAAGTATATTTAATTAAAGTGAATTAGTTTATGAGGTCAGCATCGCTGATTGAGAACACTTAATATTTTATACACATTTATATTTTAATCTATTAGCCAAATTATTTCATTTTACTACACTCTTTGTTTCATTTCCAGTTAATTATAAAAATACAGGAGTGCATTTATTGTTATTAAGCGAATTTACCACAAAATTTTATTATAAAACAGTCCTGAATACTTAATTTTTTAAAGCATTGGTAAATAGTATTTGTAAATTGTGCAGGTACCTGCTCATCTCAGTCAGAATTATGCAAAATATCCATCCATCCATCCACCCATCCATCCATCTTCTTTAACTGCTAGTCCTATTCAGGCTTGTGAGGGTCCGAGGGTCCGGAGCCTATGCTGGAGGCCACGGATACAAGGCACGTGGCATATCCTGGGTGGAATAAGGCACAAGGCAGGACTACGCCCTGAATGGGGTGCCGGTCCATCACAGGGCATATATACTGTACTGCAGTGGTTCTCAACCCTTTTTGCACTGCGATCCAATCTTTACCTTGCCATTTCAGTCGCGACCCTATATCAAGTATAGGTTTTAATTAACGCTATGATCAACCACGCAGTGCACTCTGCAGTTTATGCCAATCAATGACCACCTCACAAATCTGAATGGATGTGCTAGTGAATTTTAAATTACGCATCTGTGGTTTGACTGCTTGGATTGGTTGAGTGTTGACCAGTTTTTCACTAAGCATTTGCAGACCCAAAACCTGTTTATATGGATTAATTCTAGGATTGGGGCTGGGAAATGTGATCATGGATCAACATAGGAGCATTCTGGTCTTAAAATGCTTACATTTCCTACTCTGCCTCATGACCCTTTTAGAACTTGCCGTGAAACAAATTTGGGTCGCGACCAATGGGTTGAGAATCGCTGCTGTACAGGACAAAGTCTGTGGCAGCCAAAGGAAACAATGTTTAAATTGTGTTTATATTGGTGTATAGCTATGAGTATGTCTGTACACTATGCCAGGTAAGCCATTTCAAAGCCATTCCTCAAGTCAACCGTATTTGCAGGTGTCATCCAATGATTCCATGCATTTGTTGAATTCACATACTAGCCTTATCTGGGTAATCAATACCTCATGAGATTAATTGATTAAGTTGATTAAGTAAATGAGCTGCCAGTGGAAACTAACAAATATATGGAATGGCTGAAATGCCCCCATGGAGAGGTTTGGGAACTGAAGCGGTGTTCATCTAGCAATCCAGCGAGACATCAGTAACTTTTTGTAGAACAGGAGAAATTCTTATACTTTTATTACAGCTTATACATACAACCCAGATAAAAAGCGTTAAACATAATTACCTTTGGCTGCCTGAGGCTTCTGCACAGTGCTGCACACACACAATCATACATAATGGGCATTTCAGAGACACCAATCAGTCCACTTTCATATCTTTGGGATGTGGGACAAAATCTGTCTCACTTTGGGGGAATTCCCAAACCCCAGACCACCATATTCCACCATACCACCATTATACAGGGGCAGATTTGCAACAAAAAAGCAGCCTGGGAATTGGCTGCCAACCACAGGGAATCCCCCCCCCCCACCCTCCAGTTGGGGATGGGGGCTTTCGCCGATTGCAATCAGCCAGTTGGCCACCAATGAAATAACAGTCTATTAATCACTTCCTGGTTTCAACCCGGAAACACGCCGAGATCGGACTGGACAGCCCTGGAATATAAGTTACAGAATGCTGGGATTGGGCAAGATTGTCCAATCCTCATAACCAGCTGGCCCACTGGAAAAATTCCTGAACTTCCAGTTCACACCTGCATTATTGTCATTATAATTCACTGTACTATAAAGGATGCTTCTGGAAGAATGGACTGCGAATTTACAACTTGTTTTAATGCAATGGGATATCATACCCTTTCTTATTGGCTTATTGCAATGTTTTCCAATCCACTCCTCGGGGGGCCACAGCCAGTCCACATTTTTGCTCCCTCCCAACCGGCAGGGAACTCAGAGGGAGCGAAAACATGGACTGGTTGTGAGTGCCCATGGACCGGATTGGAAAACACTGGCTTATTGAGCTGTGCAATGTACTTACCAAAGGGATTCGGATAACCTCCACTGTTGTTATTTACAGAGCTGATTGAGGATTATCTTTGTTGATTTTAGTCATTCATTTCCATAATCCCTTTTTTTTAGTAATCCTTGCTGTATTTGACTTAAATTTACCTAGGGCAAGCAGAACTATAAAGAGAAGACCCTTGTGAAGACAGGGAGAACTCAGTCACATTCGCAAACACACAAGCGCACGCACACAACAAGTTACAGACCGGGAATTTTGGCAGCGTGAGGTAATAACACTACCCACTGAGCCAACGTGCCAACCAACTCATTAAGTGGGTGTGCACAAAAAAATGATGCCGGCACACAGTGAAAGTAATGACCCAAACAGTTGTCATCTGTGCCCCAGAGACTGGTATCTCCACAGGCTACTAGCTGTTAGGGATATGCAAAGCTTCAGGTACCCCAGACTTGATAATTAGACTATTAAGTTGGGCTCTTCGTTCACCGGATTACTGTCGACACCTGTGTAGCTAGAGCAGAAAAGCAAATTTGTGCGACTTTTGTATAAAAAGAACAGATTCATCAAAACCTCATAATGGAAGACAGATCCAGTTCAAAGTCTACCAAGTGTCGATTTTATTAGGAGCTGAAACATCCACACCTATCGCTCTCCTGCTAGTCTGCTTCTCTAGTTTGGAAAGAAGCTGCATTAAATTAGCTCTTGGATTCAGGCTGACAGAAAACTCAGTGATTAAGTTCAATTTCAGAATTTTGGAATTTTATCTGGTTTGTGGTTAGTCAACAAGGACTCTGGAGATAAGATACAGGCAAGACTATGATCGTTGCTTAAGATGTAGCAGAGTCAGTCAGCTAAAGGCATCGCAGCAACGCTCTCCGAAGAGGATCTACCATGGCTTCTTTCAGGAAGTTTTTGGAGGAGAGTTACAGATTTTCAGCACTGTTCTCAACTAGGGCAAATCTCATGGCTCTGCACTAATGCTATGAGGTTACTGATCAGATTAAACTGGCATAGTTACTGTAAATAAACTCAAATATGTCATTCAGTCAGTGACAAGCAAAACTTAAGAATGCAAAGAAAGGATCCACTTTGAAATTACTAAATCATAAAACTGATTCAAAACATAGTGAGAGTGGGCTTGATGCCTGCGCTTGGATCTTTCTGAAGTTTACATGTTCCCACCATATCTATATTGGTTTTCTCCTGCAGCCCAAAAACATTGATTTGGGTGACGTGGTGTCTCTCAGCTGCCCATATTTTGTGACTTTGTGTATTCGATAAGTAGTTATGCAACACAGATGTATAACTGCAAATTTAAAACTGCTATATACGGTACCAGTCAAGAGTTTGGACACGCCAAGCCACCTACAAAGGGGAGTGATAGTGTCACATCACATGACCTGGCCACCCGACCAACACACGGTAGAGATGGTTTTGGAGTTTGACCAGAGAATGAAGGAAAAACGGCCAATGAATGCTCAGCATATATGTGGAAACTTCTTCAGGACAGCTAGAAAAGCATCTCAAGAGCCCACCTCATGAACCTGGGGTATAGAAGAGACAGTAAGGTCAGCCAGTCCATGGAGCAATTAGGCCAAAGGGCTTTGCTCAAGAGCCCAATGGTGGGATTGTTCTGCTGACCCAGGGATTTGAACCAGCAACCTTCTGAGTCCCAACCCGCAGAGCTGCCCCCAATATATTTTTTTATGTAATACTTTTCTGGCCAATACATAACTCATTATATGTTATTTAATTGTTTAGATGTATTTATAATTATTCTAAAATGTAGAGAATAGTACAAATAACCATTTCTATGGGTAGGATTGTCCAAACTCCTGACTGGTACTGTATAATAAAGTCAGTATTAGTAATCAGGTTTTTGTGTTGCTTTCCTTATTGTTTTTCTCTGTCTATTTTAAAGGAAATTGCAGGTGGATAGGCCATGTTTTCTATTCAATACTGTAGAGTCATGAAATATTTAAAGGTTAACAGCATTCAGTCTGAGTGAAAACAAAAAACTGAGTTTACTTATATCGATCTTACGTCTGTATCTTCAACAGGATCGATAATATTCTTGAGTTTATTTTACCCACTTTGTTTCTTTTAAAGCAGGAAGATAGCTAAAATTTTGGAAGAAGATACTAATCATATGCCCACTTACAAATGTACTCCTCGTGTAGTATAATTAAAAGTGAATTCCAGGTAATGAAAATTGCACCCTTTGCACTGTACATATTCACACTGTATATAATATGAAGAAAACCACAGACTATCCAATATTTCTTTACTTCTATCTGATGTTATTTTTTGCCCATAGAAACGATACTCACCTGATCCATTATAGTGAAAACAACCAAGTGCACATGGGATTTATATCCATCCATCTTCCACCCATTTATCCAGTACAGGGTCTCTGGTGGGAGTGGGCAGGGGCTGATGCCAATCCCAGGCAGCATACAGCATAAGGGAAGGGACACCCAGGATGGTTACACAGACAGTCGCACACTTTGGGCAAGGCCTTTGGACTGCAAGGGGACACATATGGAACATGGACTGAACATTTTTGGACAAAACTCCATGCATGTTTGTATCCCTAACTTTGTGGAGACCAAAAAGTGTCCCACAAGGCCAAAATAGTAGGATTTAATCACATTGTGAGGACATTTGGTCCTCACAATGTAATATATATATATAAGACCACACACATAGACAATCAAGTCCCTGAATCCATCCATTCTCTGTACCCACTTGTCATATGCAGGGTTGCAGGGTTCTGGAGTCTATCCTGGAAGCTACAAGCAAAAGGCAGGGAATAACCCAGAACGGGGCGCCAACTCATTGCAGGGCACCATTCACACATAGAAGCAATTTGGCTGCTCCAATTCACCTGTGTTTTTGGGCTGCGAGGGAGAAAACTGGAGGAAACCCCACAATGACAGAACATGCAAACTCTACATACACAGAGCTGGGACAGAGATGCAAAGCCTGGTCCCCTGAGGTACTACGGGACCATGCTAATTGTGGCACCACTGTGCCACCCTACAAAATACCTTACATGCAGTCATTATTTCTGCAATGGACTGGCATTCTGTCCAGAATGCCCCTGTATTGTGCTCTAAGCTTCCTAGACTCAGTGTGATATTGTAATATTTAAGCAGTGATGGAAGATGGATTATTATTTTTGTAGGTTATAAGATACCAGAATACTTTTAACATTTGGCAAACACCTGCTTTTATTATGAGGCACTCTTTTTCCTGTAAAGTTTACCGTTGCCCCATACACAGTCAACAACATTTTGAAATGTGCATAAATTAAACTATATCCAGAGTAGCAGGTACTGCAGTAGACAATTCCAGTGATATCTTATTTCCACAATATGATGATATGTGTTAATATTATAATACAGCAACACAATACTACACATTAAGGAAGAGACTGGAAAATATAGCTACAGTAATGTCCACATTAAGTAGGAACGGCAGAAAGAAAAATGATTACAGACCATAACACGTTATCACATGTTAAACTTTTTTAGCCGCCCGGAATAATCCAGTAAAACCTTTAATCTTGAGGCCACTATGAATTTTCCACGGGGACAGTTATTAAATAGGTCAATTCTAACTAGTGTCAAATTGACCCTGATTTTATTAACTGTATTAAGACCAAAGACAGACACTGACATCATTTATATCTGTTCATAGAAGCGTACAGCAATGCGGTTCTGATTAAGTTACAAGCTCATTTAGCATAATGTAACGAGAGATGCCACATGATAACGACGCTTATGTGACGTGTCCATTTAAACGATAATTGATGAAGACAGACTTTACCACGGTATCTGTCATATCACCAGATCCGTAACACGTCATTACAGTACATCAAATTCCTAAACATCACATACTTTTAAAGAGTTTTATACCAATGAGTAGGCGAACGAAGCCCACATTTACTTTAATTCCTAGTGATACTTTAAATAAAACGTGGGCCCTTTAAGAAAAAGTTATTTTGCAGAGCATTAAGTCAAGGATGAGCCACGCAGTATAGTTGATGACATTATTTAATTTTAAATCATTTAAGCACAATGTAACGGGCTCCTATTTTATATGCCTGCAATGGGCATGCATCGTTTAAACGGGCTGGCGTTGTAATGGAGGGCTATGTGCTTTAACCATCACACTATCTGGCTGCCACAGTGCTGTGTTGATAAACAGCACACTTTTCCACCAGCCCTCTGTTATCGTGCACAGTTACTGGAGTACTTGGTAATTGAAGGCTGCGCCCTAGTTTGTGTCCAATCAGAGTGTATCTGCCGTAGGATGAATAAAGCAGCAATGCGTAAACAAGCAGTGGAAAGTACTCCGCCCCTTTCTTCTATCATCTTTACAGCGGCTAGTTCCGTATTCTGTGAGATTTAATGCAACATCCACGCACATTAAGCAGCGCCGGGTTATAGCGCTCGGGATTTTCGGCGGATCCTCACGACCATCGGCCTCGTTAGAAATGGAAGGTAAGCGATGCGGTCCGCGTCGCGAGAGCCAGTCGGGTAGCCGACGCTATTGCGTATCGTTTTCACAAGGTGCCGTTCTGGTGAAGTTTTAGGGTGGGATGGGGATGGTATCGTGTGTCACGCACGGCTATCAAGTTGCTGGGCATGTGTCCGACCTTGTTCCGCTCGGTGGTGTGTAAAGCGCTAGTTAAAGCGCCCCAACTAGTGCTCGTACTTGACGCCGCGTCGCGGCGGAAAGTTACACTTTTACGGCCGCTAGCAACTTGTGTGGTGTGGCGTGTTTTTCCTTTTTTTTTTTAACGACGGCGATTGCGTCCCCCCCCTCCCTCCTTCCCGGTCAGCGCCGCGCGTACCCAGCTAGCCATGTTCATACATTTATCGCCCAGTAAACCTGTTTTCTGGGAGGTGACGCACGTAGTGACGCTCGCGACTTCCTGGTGCTGATGAGCGACAGATAGCGCGCGCGGCCGCTGTCCGCGTGCGAGCTCCGCGTCGGAGGATTTTTCTAGTAACGCGCTCCTGAGCGCCGCGGTGACGTCCCTCCGATTCGCCTGACCTACACCGCAGCCAGCAGATTTAAAATGCAAAAACACCCCCCTCTCCGGCACGTATTCGCACTAATTCTTGACCATATCTCTGATATTTGCGTTTTGAAATCTAATTAACGGGCAGGTTACTTGATTTGCTCCGTCACAGTGTCTCCCGTCGTTAAACTCTTATTATAAATACGTACGATAAAACAGGACTGTAATACCGAGGGATGTCGCTACAGTCAGAAATCGTGCGTGAACATAGGCGGCCCGTGAGCCAGCTAACTACGGGCTAGCCGGGCTGTTCTCACTGGGCACCTGCGCTTACGCTGACATTGAACGAGAACTTGATGGAATCCCTGCGAGAACCGAATGAACGACAAGTTGTATTTCTAGCAAGAAATAGTAGTTTTAAAGTATTGTAAAAGTCTAGTCAATTTGAGTTCCGGCCTGTTTTAAGGTGGAAGATGTGATGCGAGTGTATGGGGAAGCGAGGGCGGTATTGATATTGTGTGTGTGTGTGTGTGAGGGGGCGGAATTCATGTCTGTAACGTAAGATGCACCTGTACTATGCAATGCATAGGGATATTTTGTGGCTTCCACGACACTGCGTGCACTAATGCGAAGACATTGCATTTAGATTGCTAATTATCCTGACCCGTCATAAAACGAAATATCAGAGAAATTAAGGACCCGTCTATCTCATCTGCGATGAGATTCTGGGGTCGCTTGGTGAATCTTCATTCCATTTCTTTTACAGACTGGTGATTTCCTTGTAAGTTTTAAAAAAGAGATGGACGGCGATATCAGTTTCTGCTACATCTTTTCTTTTTGCATTGACACTTCGAACGTATCGTTTATATATAAAATGTCACACATTGGTGTAATTGCTGTTTTTGGATTATATAAAGTTTATGTATACTTGAATTTATAGCATCCATCATAGTTTCGGGCGTAAGTCTAATTATGATGTACTTGCATTTGCTAGATACACTTTCCCAGGCGGATGAGAAGTGAAGCACCCAGATTAATGTCTCCAGGAGAATGCCCTTTCCACGAAGCGAGGATTGACTTGAAATGCAGCGGGTGCACAGGGCAGCCCAGCAGTGTAGTGTAACCAAAGCACTCCTGTGAACCCTGCCCTGCATCCTTACCACCCTCCTACCCCCTCCGACACCGTTGTCTACATTCCTTCTGTGCAACCTCTTCTGCCGGGGTCAAAAATGTCTGTGCAGAGGAAACACCTCGTGAAAGAGTTCAACCACTTCATCACCTGCTATGTGTGCAAAGGTTACCTGATAAAGCCCACCACCGTGACTGAGTGCCTGCATACATGTAAGTACTTTCACTATGTAACAAGTAATCCCCCCCCCCCCAAGAAAAGCAGGTGACTTTTGCTGACGCTGACTTTCATATCGTCACTTTCTTGCGGCCACCTCCCTGAAAATCAGAAGCAAGTAAATAAAATGACCCTCAGTCTTATGGCCTTTGCCGTCGTTTCCAGGGCAACTCGTAAACAATAGTATGAACTCTGACTGGACATGAGATGTTTTGCTAATCAGCTGTAATTGTTAAATTTGCATTTGCATAGCTTCAGTAAAAATATTTTAACCCCAATATCTCCTCAGCGCATGCATTTCTATTTGAATGATTTCCAAATCAACACTAATCTCCATCTTTTTTTTCTCTTTTGTATAATTATACTAATCATATCCAAAAATAATTTTAATTATATAAACTTTTTATTTTAATTGAAGGCCAAATCAGGCTGTGTTTATTTTTTTCATGTAATTCAAATGGTTAATGCCGTTCTAAATGGTGATTTATTTATTTTTTCACTAGCTTTTTCTGCTTTTGTTTGCAAAAGCATTTTTTGGCAGTCATATTTGAAACTTTCATATTTTTAAAGGTCTCCTGTCCTCTTAGAAAACTGAGATAAATGAAAATCTCTCCAAGCCAGCAGTTTCACACACATGTTGTTATTTCGCTGCTATATTCTATGCACATCTTTCTTCACACCCCAGAATTGCTACTTTGTACACAGTGGATAGTTCTTTTGTGTTTTCATTTTTATTTGCTGACATACATAGACCAATCATTTTGTTTTCACCTGGTTGTAAATGCTAGATGTAATGGCACATCTGAGAGCTCATCCTCATGAATGACAGATCTCCGGTAATCTGGGTGAATACAGTCATCTGTGGGTTCAGTCACCATGACAACAGATGCCTTCCTTTTCAAATAAGCTGTTTTTGTCCAACTTGTTTTTACTAGAAGGTGAAATCAGTTCCTTATCCATTGTGGAAATGATATCGGCTTCCATTGTAAGTTTGGAGTTGGGGGACTTAATTCTGGCTTCAGTCCTCTGTTGACCGGCTGGGAGGTGGTGCTTCCTGTTCCCAGAACACGAGGACAGTCATTGTTCTACATGCATTCACCTCAGACGTTAAGCCACTTTGGATCCAGAGGTGGTTATCCAGAACTGGTACTGGTAACACTATAGCATTGTTTTTTTCCTCCCTCTGTGGGTGTTTTTGTAATTTATAAAACATTCTGCTTAATTTGGAGGAACTGGAGGGATAAGGAACGAACAAGTGGTTGTATCATATTAATTTTTATTACAGATCTAAGCATACCTTCATAGAATGTGGTGATAATTACCAGAGACAACATACTGATCTCGGAGTGATCCCTAGGCACAATAATTTCATCTGCCTAAGGCAGATGAAACTTTTTTGAAAAGGTAGTAAATTCTTTTAAGTAAAAATTGTTGTCAAAGTCTTGACTTTGGCACCGGTTAATGCATCTATTAATGTGTGTATGTGTTTTTTTTAATTGTGCTGAAATGAAACACAAAGTTTAATAAGCCTTCAGGGAATGCTATTTTGGCATGATGTTGTACAAGATTTGGTATAATTACATAGTTAATACATTTGCATAAACTTTTTTTGCAAAACCGAGGACCTGCCATGAAGATCTTATATGCCATTTTTGTCATTATGAAATACTCTTATTAAAGGGTAATATATCACTGCTAGTTTATTTTTGGGGGTAGTAGTAGTAGTAGTAGTAGTAGTAGTAGTAGTATTATATTACTCTTATTAAACTGTCCTCACTCTTCCTCTCCACCTCATGTCACAACAAAAGTTTTCTATTTAAATACCTTGGCTGTGTCACTTAAAGTGGTTCAGTGTCCCGTTCATCTTGTGTAACTTTGGCCCGTGTCTGAGAGGTGGCAGAACGCTCTTGCTGCCTTGGCCCTAAAAGTAGGTGACATCATCTTAGGTGACTGCCATGGCCAGTGGGAGCAACATTCCTGGGGTGGGGTGGGGTGGGGGTTGTGGATGGTGGTGGCTCTGTTTCTCTGTTATCTCTGTCTGATGACAGAGCCACTGTTCTTCCGAAGAGGTGCTATTAGTTAACATTATCTTTTGCAGATCTGAAAATGTGAAAATTAAAGCCCCCACAAGATTGCAGGAATTACAGGGAGCCGTTTCATTATCATCTGGCTATGACCTATTCATGCCAGGTTATTAAATCTGACAAATTTATTGCCATCTGAACAGCTGGGGCATAATTCTGCAGACCAGTGTCTAATATTGATCTATAACATGATATAGAGGTATGAAACAGCTTCTCACTAGAGGGGAGACACTGTCCTATATCCTTCACCTTACAAGAGGTCATTTTAGACATTGTTGGCTCTGAATGTTTCAGGATGTGCTGGTTACATCACATCATACGATCCATGGTGTAATGACACTAACTAAAGAGGGTCTGATACAAATGTAGACTGTCTCTTCTACAGAGGGTTATATCAGAATAGGTCCCCTACATATATAATGCAACTCCTGATGCATTCTTGTGAAGTGAATTTTTGATGGTCTTGTTGGGGACAAACAAGGTCAAGTCACAGATTGGTACCCAATGCACTAAATAAACAAACACATACGCTGCTCAAAAAACTGGACACATGCCTGAAACATGTTAAAAAAAAAAAACATTTAGCCACATATTTAACGTGACCAACAGACAAAACTACTCTGCTGAATACATCTGAAAGAAGTTTTCTTGAGACTAATCAGTGCCTCAGTATCAGTGAGGGCATTGGAAAACATACCATCCCTTTGCTGAATACCCCTGATAAGAATTTCTGTCACGAAGGGAAATTCCCTCCTGGATAGTATTAAGATACTGCGGTCTGCAATAGACCATATGATGAAGCTAGATAAAGAAAATTGTACTAATGGCTTTTTTTTTTTTTTTTTTTAAGAAAAAAAATGCTGACATCAGTGACAGTACTTAAAATGGTCTCAGAAGTTTTTGTTTCACTTTTGAAAACCGCACCTCTGTCATTCCATCATCAGAGATTGGATATTTTGGTTCATTTGACGTGCGCGTCCACATGCATCAGCTGCGATGGGTGCTGTAAAGTTGTAAAGTTGAAGTGACACTTAAGAAGGCCTGGGATAATGTATGTCAGATAAAGTCTCCATTAGTTTAATTCAGCAATGTTAAGGAATGGCTGCTGGAATGGATAGCTGTGTCTCATCTAATATTTAAATTGCCTTTATATTTCTTTTTAAAAGCAACAGTGTGTCTGTGAATCATTGTATTTAAGAGGCTGGTGCTGTTACCCGATAATTATGGTTGTGGTAACAAAAATATAACAGTAATTTTGATAAAATCTGATCTTTTTTTCTTTGTCAAATCAAATGATTTTCATTTACTGGTTTCGTATTCTGGTTTCTGCAATAGAAAAACCCATCTCTGCTTCCTGCGTGGGTCTCGAACAGGGAGGAAACGCTGAGTGTCAAACGCAGATCAATAGAGACGGTCCCAGCCTGTGCCTCAGCAGAATTTAAATTGGGTTTTATTTTTAAATGTCAGGCATGTGAGCGTGTTCAGGGAGTGTGTGTGTGTCTGTGTGTGTGTGCGTGCGCTCATGTGTCCAGTTTGCGGGAACGCCGGCTGCAGGAGCATGATGGGAAGACGGCCCGGGACCGTCCACCGCGGTCTTATCTTGCGTCATCCGTCAGCACTCACCCAGGTAGTCCCAGAGCTGATCTACCCTCCGCACTGACAGCTGGGTTTGAGTGCAACAGCATTAAACAACACTGCTCCAGTGTTTGTTATTACTCTGCGTGTCTGCTGTTGGGTGCTTGTTAGTTTCCCTTTAAATTGGTTCTTGGGAGCATTTGCTTAGCATGTTTGTGACACGAGGGGAACGAAAGTTTGGATTTCTCCGTTCCCTCGGCTACTCGGCGGTTATAATGTTAGCAGCCGGTTTTAAATAGGAGGCGGGTATTTTGAGAGCCGGCTGCCCGCATCTGCAGTCACTGTATATGGCACTAGTGTGTATTTCTATTTTTACAGTCGCATTCATCCTGTTTGTCTCTCGATAGTACCACCAGATCGGATGTTTCCTAATATGCTGTCCTTCTGCTGGTGCCTGGATTGCTGCAGAAGAATCTCAGGCGATAGCTTGTCTGTTTCGTGAGCGTTGTTAGTATAGCAACTTTTTAAGCTATACAAATTTTATGAGGTTTACAGCCACGTGGTAATTTCTGAGAATGCAAGCACTTGGTACTTATTGTTGGCTGTATTGTAAGATTCACGGCTCAGGTATGCAATTTGTAAGAAGTCTCTTTAGAGATTCTTCCCACCAGGAGAGGTTTCCCGTGATTGAAGCGGTCCTGAGAGATCTGGCACTTGTAACATTTTATTTTGTCATTGTTTGGAACCCATTTTTCTAATAATAAACTCATCCGTCCGTCCATCCATCCATCTTCCCAACACTTATGCTATACCAGGTCATGTTGGCCTGAAGCCTGTTACAGGCAGCCCATAGCACAAGGCTGGCAAATAACTCATTTTATAGGATTTCTCGTTTAAGTCGGCTTAAAATGTTTGTTTAATGCTATTTGTTTATACTTGTCTCTCTCCTTTTGCTAGTTTGTAAAAGCTGCATTGTTCAGCATTTTGAAGACAGCAACGACTGTCCCAAATGTGGCATTCAAGTTCATGAAACGAACCCACTAGAAATGTTAAGGTAAGATGTTTTTTGGGAGACTGATGGTTTCATAATTAGCATTGTGAAGAAAAGAGTGATTTACAGTATTTTTGTAGTTGCCAAACGTGTCAATGTCATTTTTTTTGGTGCCACTTTACAATAAGGCTGCCAATATGAAGGGTTTATGAATGGTTTATAATCTGGTTATTAATTAGGTTGTAACACTTTTTGTAAATTATTAATAGACAATTTTAAACAAGTTTTAACACTGTTTTTTCTTTTTATTAATGGCTTACTACCATTTAAAAAGTAGCAAAAGGGAGCCTTATTGTAAAGTGAGACCTTTTTGTATGTAATAAAAATTAAGATGGTGACATCAACAAATCTGACCTCAAACCAGTGAATGGGTATTATATACAGGCTGGGTGTGCCACCTCTTTGACTTTCTAAATTACACCAAATATAACCTACAGTTCTGCTAGAAAGGGACACAGCTGGCTTATATGCTTGTTTGGGGGTCCAAGGCTGACACCTGCAAACGCCATATTTCGTCATTTACAGCCTTTGCACTCTGGGTTATTTATTCATTAGCGTCACTCTTTGATATTGGGTGACGTTCCATTCCACTTTATTTATACCTGAGCTGAGCCTCTGTGCTTTGCCAGCTTAAATAGCTAGCTTCTTTATTTAATATAGCAACAGTGCTAGAATAAATACCTACTTTGCAATATTGTTTCTGTGAGATGTCACATAATCTAATAATTAGTTGCATCCCATTGTATTCTATACTGTCTGTCTTTCTTTTCGTGTGCTACTTCCAGCCATATTCCAATACTTTCTTTACAGCCAAACAGATCACCAGACCGTGTTTGCCAGCTGTCAAAACGCAGACTCTCTCATCTGTCCTTGGAGTACTTTCATGTGTCCATTATACAGAATATCTTCAGGAAGAACACTGTCTGTGTTGTGTTAGAGATGTGTCAAGGCTGTTCACTGATGGGGAAACTGCTGGTTGCTGGAACTGAGGAAAAGGAGTCAACTCGAGCCCAATGATGGAAAGAACACAAGTGTTTCCTTAGTGGGAATCGAGGATCAAACCCTTCATCGCCGATTAGCTAGCCATCTCTCAGCCATCCGTTTGACATATATAGACAGATGCTTTGCAAGTATTCAGTGGAAATTTGTAGGAGGCTGAACAGGCAGTAAAAGTAAAAAAGTGAAAGTAAAAGAAATACAGAAGCTAACTTGTCTTAAAGAAACTTATCCACACCTTTATGGATATTCACTTGCATGGCTTACTTACAAGTAAAGTAATTAAACAGTCAGTAGTTCAACACAGTCAGGACATCAATGATCTTCTGCAGAATTTTTCAGGGCTGGTAGATTTAAAAGTGACCCATCCCTTTTCTTGTCGCACGTAGAAGACACTGGATTGTCTTCCCTTGGATCCGAAATGCAGTGCTGAATTCCAGTGGCCAGTTTGCTTCTCCCTATCAGGAGCAGACTTGAGTTTGACATTTACTGAAGGGAATCAATGAGATTCTTGCACCTCTTTTTTGTGTATGAGAGTTTGACCCAACCTGACTTTTCCCTCCTTTTCCTCCTATTTTTTTACCCCCCCCCCCCCCAACCTCTGTTTCTAGGTTGGACAACACCTTGGAGGAAATCATATTCAAGCTTGTGCCTGGACTCAGAGAAAGTAAGAAGGCCTGCTTTGACTCTTCTGTGACTGACTGCTTTGGTGTCTTTATGGTCATAGAAAACGTCCTCAGTGAAATGATACGTGACCCACGTCGAATTCTCAGAACTTCGAGCTGAGCAGGGTAGCCAATCACGTGGCGGTCTTTGCTCTCCCCTTAGCGGTCGTAAACACTCAGCGCCCACACATGCTGACACCAGTTGTCAGGTTTAATTAAGCAAACAAAACTGCTTTTTTAACACACCCCAGAATCTCATTATCATTCCCACAAATATGCAGGTGTCTCTCTTTTTCGGCAGCCGGCACATTTCCATGTGTCCGTAGACTGAGATATTTGTCATTACATCCCAGAAAAAAAAAATACAAAAATCCCATGCTTATGAATAAGATCTGTGTAGGTGCCGAAGCAATTAGGCAGACCAGAAGCTTTCAGTTTCATATCGCAGATCTGCGCCTTCAGCTACTGCATTACATCCGTTCGTTTTCCGTAAGCATTTATCCAGTACAGGGTTGCGGTTACCTTGGAGATTCAGAAGGCTGGGGAACACCCGTATCCCCGTATGGGATGCCAGTCCAATGCACGGCACACGCTCCTTGAAACTCTGTGGGCAATTTAGAGACACCAATTTGTCTAAAAGCATGTTGTTGGTCCGCTGGAAATACACATAAACACAGGGAGAACATGCAAACTCCATACAGAGTAGGGGGCCGTGAATCGAACCCCCCAGAGGCGTTACGCCCACTGTGTCACCATGCCGCCCTCGCTCAGGTGCGCTAAATTGAAATAGCGATGTTAAGTCGTTTAAATTTAAAATCTCTGGTAAGCAAACATTCAGCATAAAGTGGGTAGCTTCAAAGATGAGAAGCGCCCGGGTATTCTCGCTGTGAAGGTTTAGCCGGTCCATCTGTTTCACTTTGGTTAGCATGCTGTGTTTTTGCGGGGAATCCGAACGGGAGATACAGCGTGAGATAATTTATTTATTTCCCTCTGCTACCTCTCCCTGTTTATCTCGCCAAGTTATTTTGACTGAAGCGCAGGCTTTGAGCGTCAAGCTTACCAAAACTGATGAGGTAATGAGTAGATAATTAGTTTTACGTCTGCAATTTTTTTTTACCCTGTCGAGTCACTTCAATGGCTTTATTTTTTTTCCCCCTTTGTTTTTTTTTTTAATCTGTTGACTAGAGGAACAACAGCAGGAGATTGAGTTCTGGAAGAAGAACAAGTCAAAAGAGAATGGTGAAGGTAAACACTGTCCTTTTACACACACAAAGTCTTAAACGCATCTCAGACTGCCTCTAAATATAGCAATAAAAGATTACCATCTCCCCCACAGTTCTTTGAATATTCAGCTTAAACCTGCCTTTCATAAGACTATTGAACATTCTGCGTGTGGCGTTACTCTAACTTTTATGTCGTTAGTCATTTTTAATTCATTACCTGTAAATAGTACCCTATGCATTGCAGTGAGGCCTTCTCAGTTTTACTCGGTTGAGCGACTAACCCTTATTTAACACATTACATCATTGTTTATATTTTTCTTTGGGATCTGGGGGCTTCTGCAGTTTATAGACGTCTTCTGAAAGCGTGATTGCGTGCAGTTATTCTCAGCTGTTTCCCTCTATGATGAAACGTGCGGCACATGTTGTTGCCTGTAGAGTAAAGAATAGAAGTAACCTTCCAGTAGCGAGTAGGCTTTAAATATCGAACCTCAGAAGCTTTTCAGTTGCGGAGAATATATCTCTTCTAATCAGCCGTGTGGATCTTTATGGATACTGGGCCACCATGGATTGGGGGGGGGGGCTTCAGTGGGATTGGGTTTGGGTTGCGGTGTAAGTGAACCTTGTTTCAGGTGAGAGGTTGAAAGCCTTTGGGAGGCAGTATGATAAGAAGTAGGACAAAGACTGAGCTGTGATCCAAGGCCCCTTATCCTGCGTCAAAGCCTCACTGTGGGCGGTGCAGTAGGAGGTGGTGAGTCATGACAGAAGGCAGGGAGAATGTGGAGGGAGATTCGATAACACAAGGGCTCCCAGAAAGCGTTCAGGGAAACTGATGAAATCTTTCATTGAGTTGGGTGGGGGGGGGATGATTGACCAAGCAGTTGTGTGAAATGTAAAAATCTAGCTGCTGTCGTTTAACCGTCACCACAGACGCTTCAGAAAATCGTAACGGGATGTTTTGAATGATTAGGCTGTAGGTCTGTCAGACTCACGCCCATCTCCATGTGGAACCAAGGTGCACCTGGTCCATTCGATTGCGAGTTTGGTAACTCCAAGGCTGGGTAATTCTAGCCAGTCGCAGTTTTTCATTGTTATAAAAAAGAAGCAAGTAAAGCAATTTTTTTTTCAAGAAGGACTGTTACGCCCAAACAGCAGCACCCCATCCCCGCCCTGGTCCCTCTAGAGAATCCTGCGGCGCACCCTGCCCCTCTGAGCTGGACGTGGGCCTGGTTCTTTTATTGAAAGGCATTCAGAAGGTTCCTTTGAGAAATTTGAGAGGTTCGACGGATTCATTGACAAAAAAGCAAAAAAAAAAAGATATCGGAGGAAAACACCATAGACTAGACAGCGGATTTAGTCTGCAAGGTGAAGCCTCTCTCCCAGGGATTGCACATTCATTGCAGCAGAGTGAGACCCAGAGTGTGACTTCAGACTGAGGCTTTGATACACATAGCTTCTCAGTCTAGCTCCTGTGCGTGGCTGCTGTCTGATTGGTGCTCGCCTCTGGCGTTCCAGCCTCCGGCTACGTCGCTCCTTCGACTTCTAAAGCATCCAAACTTTAGATGTGTGGCCCTAGCTGACTGGCGCCCATCATGTCACAATATCCTCACGATACTGAGTAAGCAGTTAGTAATCATGTAAACCTAACATTAGCCCGTATGCCTTCCGGATTCTGTTTTGGATTTGGGGGTCCTTTCCTCAGATCCGTAGAGGATCGAAGACGGGAGGCTGGAGGTGCGTTCTCAGGTTTTATGTTTCGCAGACAAAATTCAGGTTTGAAAGCTGAAGGGTTTTTATCCCCGCAGACGATGGCCCCAGAAACAAGAAGCCCCGATTGGATGACGAAAACGAGGAGGATGGAGACCAAGACTACCACAGGAGCGACCCTCAGATAGCTATCTGCCTGGACTGCCTCCGAAACAATGGGCAGATGGGGGAGAACATTGTGAAGGTCAGCTGCACCCCACCGCGCCTGCCGCTTTTCCTTCACTTCTCCTTCCTCTCTCACCCCTTACTCCACTTTTAATCAGCTTTTAGCTATTCCCAGCTCTTCCCATCTCGATAGCCCTACATCACGTAACAGATATTTTAAAACAATACGAACAGAACAGCATCACAGATATAACAGTGCTCTGTTTTATAATGTATTACAATATTATAAAAAAATGGTAATATAGCAAAGAAGATGTCTCTTCTATGGATTGACTGCATATCTCCGCTATTCCACAATGTATCATCTCTTCATATCTATTTCTTATTCTCTCTTCCACCCTTTATCTCTCTGTCTTGAACCTCAATCCTTTTTAATGACCTTTATATTTAAATAAACTTACCCAAGAAGGACCAAGGAATCAAGCATTCCAACTGAATCCTTTCTGATCTTTGAATGTCTCTCCTTTCGTCTCCACCCTGCTCCACTCTTTGTGTTCTCTCCCTTCCCGTTCCTTTGCCCACTTTCTGTCCCGTCTTCAGCATCCTATCCCATCTCCTCTGCTCATTTGACTTCGGAATTGTCACCTGTTCAAGGTCTCCTGTGTCCCTGGTCTGCAGTGTAGCTCTATTAGCGCTTACCCGAATACGGCCACTTTCTTTTATTGAGAATAAAGGGGCTTTTCCAGTTTTACACGCCCTTGTAAAATTGGCAGTGTAGGCAGATGTGAGTCACTGTCGACTTTCATATCAGCAGGAGGATTTCTAGCCGTTTCCAGAAGTTAAACACAAGCGGTACTGAAGACCCCTGTAGATGTACGTTACTCTCAGCTTGACGGCATGGGCTACTCACTACTCGATGCTCCTCATGAGAAATAGAAATACATTTTGTTTTGAGGTTCTGAGGACGTTTAATAATGATTCATAAAGTGGGTCACACATCTGTTGCCAGGGATGCTGGGGCAACATGCGAATGCATTAATGCACCTTTCGAGGAAAGTTGGAAGGTGGAGACGCTTAGCATTAATGCAAATGAGGGTTAATGCATGGGTGTGTTGACGTAACGTATGTAATGCAGTTCCAATGCTTCCTCCCCAGGGCTTAATGAAGAAATTTATACGCTGCTCGACCCGAGTGACCGTCGGTACAATTAAAAAGTTCCTCAGCTTGAAGTTAAAGCTTCCCAGCTCGTATGAGGTAAGCGGGAACCCTCAATGTGCCTCCTTTCTCCCACGACAGGAGAGCGTCTCTCCGAGCCCCGCGTGGGTGGATCTGCTGGCCGCAGCCCTTTGAATTATTCTTTCCCTTTCAGTCGGCGGTTTGTTTGCATCTTGCGTCACTTTCAAAGGCCCCACTTTGCTTGCCTGCCTGCTCTGTGGGTTCATGTATTCTACCCCTCTTTGGTTAGGGGATCAGTTTGCCACATCAGTGCAGCACTCGTGTCATGTGTGTCTGCTTAAAGCTTTCATGTGTGTGTGTGTGTGTGTGCGTGGGTCAGATATACATTACATTGTGGGGACCAAATGCTCCTACAGTGTGATAAAAATCTGTTATTTTGATGTTGTGGGGACCATTTTTTCAGTCCTGGGAAATTCAATTTTATAAAAGTCTGTGCAATTAAAAAACTAATAATGTGAAAATACTTGTATTTTATTTGGTTACTTATGGTTAAGGTTAGGGCTGGGTAGGGGTTAAGGCTGTCATTGTTGGGATTAGGGATTTGCCCATAGAAATGAAGTTGTGTGTGTGTGTGTGTGTGAGTGTGTGTGTGTGTGTGTGTGTGTGTGTGTGCAGTGTTCCTGCTAAGGGAACCAAAATAGGGCTCCTCTGGGACATGAACCTGCAGCCTTTGGGTTATGAGTCCTTGCCCTTAGTTCCATGCTACCTGCGGCCCTCAGGTGTGTCCCTCGGGTCTCTGTTCTGGTCTGATGGCAGCCCCTCTTAGTGGGCCCCGGGGTGCCGTCACCATGTCACCCTGACCAGCTGTCCCTATCTCCACAGCTGGATGTTCTATGCAACGGGGAGATCATGGGCAAGGACCACACCATGGAGTTCATCTACATGACGAGGTGGAGACTTCGGGGCGAAAACGTGAGGCAACCCCTCCCCAACCCCAACCCTCATCTTCTAATTCTGCATTTTATTCTCCTCGCATGGGAAATATATTAGCTGCCGCTCAAGTCTAGCTAAGACGCGAGCCACAGCTTGGCTTTAAGCTGATTTGCTGGTTATCCTCCTGATATGGCACCCTATAATCTGGAACATGGAGCCAGGGGGCCGGCGATAAAACTGAGAAACCCCACTTTAGAGAAGCGGTATAATCACGTTGAGTCACGAAACACTGAAGTATGTAGCCATCAAAGCAAACTTCTTCGGAGTAGATCACAGGGCTCGGAGGAGCGAGAGTCCTCCTTCGACAAAGGGAATCTCTAGTTGGCCCTAATCACTGACACGCTTGTTTTGTCGGAAGGGTTGTAGGAAGGTGGCAGTTTGGCAGGGTGTTGTGGCACCTTGTGCGTGGGATATGAGAGAGACCTGGCTGGGCCTCAATCTCCATCTATGACCTCAGCTTCATTTTGGAAGGATCTTCTCTTTCTAAGTTCAAAGGGAGTAGAAGCAGTAGAACTGCTGTTGCCAGATCATACTTTGGTGTATGTGGAGACCGAACAGATGTGGCGTTTACATATTTAGCTGTTCAAACCCCATCTGCCGATCCCCCTTCAGAAGGAGCAAAACAAACATGAACTTTTCAGTACTGTCCGCTGAACAACAGTATTGATTTCTCAGACGTTGTACAGTAAGTGTTAGATGTAAGATTAAGGAATCGTCTTTTGCCTTAAATACCCTAACTCACCACAGTGTACGTGTTCATATCGTTGGAACATTTGTGCCTTTCAGATATATGTTTTGGGTATATAACAGTAAATATAGCCTTAACAGCATTACTAACAGTGAAACATGTGATGGTTTGTTGGGGGTGGGGGGCAAGATTCACGCATTTCAGAGGTGAAAGGAAACGCTTCTGGAAAGAGGGGGGAACGCAGAATAGAAATATTGTAACTTTGAGGTGATGGCACAGACTAATGAGTGAACAGTTCAAATTATATTTCTCAGAAGAACCATGTCACCAGGACACAGATTAAGAGGGGAGCCTGCTGGGGTTTGAGGTGAACATGGAGGAGGAAGGTCAGAGGTCACAATGCAGTTGCTTGGTTACTAACTGCATGGTCAGGACAGGGGGTGTCTAAAGTCATGGGCTGAAAGTCAGCTTTTATGCATTAATGTGAAGTTATCTACCTGCAAAGTGAGTATTTATAAAATGGGTGGAACGGCTTAATGATTATTTATTCAGTTTTAATTTATTGGGTGTGTTTCCCCAGATTCAGCTCCATGTATGTGCTAATGCTACACAGACAGGCTAAAGATATTTACCCGCATAGATTATTTAGGGGTTTATCCATTAACTGGTTCATCAGAGGGAAGGTTAGCTCACTGGACATTACACTACCTTAAAAAATTACAAGAACCAGCGAGATAATGGACAAGACCCCAGATAAAATATTTTGGGAAGGCTGGTTGTTACAAATGCCTCTGAGCAGCAAAGCATCCATCCATCTTTCACCCCCTGATCTAGTGCGTGTGGCAGCCCCTGGCCAGGATGCTAGTCTATCACTGGGCATCACCTAGCTGAATGGAATTTGGACTTCCTACGGTCTCGTCTTTCTCTCTCTGCCTAAAACACCCAAACGCAGAAAATTCAAACTTTCTCCTGCAGATATTATGCTAGGCCTATAGTTTCCTAGTCTAAATTGAAGACCTGGTTTTTCTTGTCCTGGCCTCACGGTTGTGGTTCATCTGGAGTCTTCTCCAGTTCGGATTCACTGCTCACTGTACCGTCGATTGGCAGCTGTGCAGCACATTAGCAAATGTTCTGCTGAAAAGGCAGCGCTCTGAAGCTGCTTGGCTGTTTTCCTCGCTTATTCCATCTGACCCTTAATATTCTTGTTTGTTTTTTTATTTTATTTTTTTTAATTATCCTGAAGAACAGCAGGGGAAAACATGAGCAGTGCTCAGGCTATGAAGTGGCTTTTCATTGCCATGTCTGCGTTATGCGTCCAGTTCTTCTGCGCACAACAGAGCACAAAATTCACTGTAATGGCGAAAATTTTGTAGTAAAGTATAAATGGAAGCCTCTAACGTATTTGTGCACCTTGGTACTTGGGTCAGCATGGTGTGCTGTACACTTCTGAGGGTGTTCCTGGGTGCAGTGCTGAGGTTGCTCTGGGCCAAAGTGCTTGGCTCTTGAGGACGGGGTCAAAGGTAATTTCCTTCATGCTTGTACCAACCCTGTGGAACAGAACAGAAGAATGAAGAGCCTGGATAGCTGCCCAGCTGGGCAGAGAAGCATCTGCAGGCTCATGGTGCAGGTTTCTTGGTCAGGATTTGGGGTATCATGGTTTTATGATGGGGTCACTTAGCAGAGGAGATACTTTTTCTCACTGACCCTATTGAGGAACGGCCCCGGTGAGCATGCTGAGCGTAAAAGAAGAAACTTTGACTTTGTTTTGTTGGAAAAGCTGGAATTGTTGTGTGGATCCTGTAAGGTTCATAAGTCCAGATGCCTCCTCAGGAAAGAGCAAGAACAGCCTGCTTCAATCTTTTTCTCAAAACGGCTGAAATGCACAGATTCGGATTGCGCCCTAATGCAGTCATTAATGCTGGTGATATTAAATTGCTCCCATCTTCTAAAAACTGGGAAATGAGAGCATTCCATTTGTCTGATGTGTTTCATTTCATAATGAAACAGATTAAAGTTTGTAATTACGAAACAGAAACCAGCATTTTCGAGGCAGATAAAACTCTGGATGTCCGCCTTTGTTTCATTTAATTAGTACTTGTGGTGTAGCTGGCTAGTTTTCCCACGTTCCTCATCTCGCAGCACTGTAGGGCATTGATAAAATGTACTTCTCAAGTGAGCTGGGGGATGGTGTGTGTCTCGGGGGGTTAGGCCTTTGGTGCCTCTGTTCGGAAGGTTGCCAGTTTTATCCCATCTTCAGCTGAATTGTCCTTCTGGGGCCCTTGAGCAAGGCCCTTACCTCCCTGAAATTCCCCTAATTTCAATGTACCTTTATTTGTATTTGTGCAAATGGCAAATAAAGCACTGTACGTTTAAAAGGGGTGGCTTGCTTATCAGCAGGGTTGGAGGTACAGACTTTGTCCCATCCAGCATCCCTGTCTCATTCCCTGCGCCTTCTGGAATAGACTCTGAGGCTCAGCTCACTATGAGCCTGCACTGGATAGGTAGTTGGAAGGTGGATGGATGGATGGGTGTTTTCACCAGTAATGATACTGAACATTAAACAGGATAGCCTAAACTCGCCGTTTACATAATACCCCTGCAGTTTTGCTGGAGAGCTCACTAAAGCCACAAGACCTGGCCGACTCATCGGGGTGGCAATAAAACTCCTTTGTTCCCTTGGACAAAAACGGCGGTAACTGGGTCACGCGGGGCACCGCCTGGCTCCTCCTCTCTGCCGCGCGCCAGCGTGCGCACGTGTAAAAATAGAAGCATCGTCGGGCTGCTTCCGGCGGCAGCGTTGGGCTGCGTCTGTCACCCCCGCGTGCCGCACGTGCTTCACGGCGGCCCGTCAATCTACTGCCACTGCTAGCACCGCGGCTCGGAGCTGAAGCTCGTCATTAATTACGAGCCATTAATTACAACATGCCACACAGACGACGCCTGCCGTGGGGCTTCCATGGATCTATATAAGAGTGTATCTTGCTGGGATCTTCTGGGTTTAACACAGGGGTGCCGGTAGACATTTTTAGCCCCAGGAAAACATATCAGATATGGCCCCCAACCCAGACGATCCTGAAGGGGCCCTTAGAATTGTCCAAACTTCCCTCCCCTCCTTTTACGGCACCCCTATATCAACATACTTTGTTGAGTTGTTTGTTCAAGGCACATAGGAGTCCTTTGGTTTTCACGCACCCTATCCTGCTCTCCGTGAGAGAGACGGTTTTGGGGTCAGAGTGCTGGGTTAGCCGTTGTGCAGCTGCCCCCAGAGCAGATGGTCCTAAGGGCCTTGCCCAAAGTTATTTGATTACCCTGCTGACTACAGAACTGGTTTGTTTTACTCTGGCGTTATGTATGACCTGCTGAGAAGGCAGCTTCCAAGTCTTAAATTAACCTTGACCTTTGCGTTTATTAATTGACATGCTAATGATTCATTTCCCTTTTCTCCTTAAACGTTAATAAGAACCGCAAGGGTGCCCATTCCTCAATCACATGTCACAGCCGAGCTTCTGGGGCCAGCAGTCGAAGGAATTCCAGCCGTATAGCAAATGTGACGTCAGAAAGTTCTCCTGTGTTTGAAATATAAATATATAAAATATAAAAAATAAACAATAAAAAATAAGTAACTAAAGGACGAGCCACTAATAGCTAAGATGGTTTTTGACATTTGTGTTGTATTTGAAACCTCCATCAGGCCTGGATTGATGGAAGTAACACGGATCTGGTTCCCGTTCTGTCCGCAGGCCTACCCGATGGTACTAGAGTATCGTCCTCGAATCGACTTTGGCTAGATGGTGAGCCGCGAGATGAAGCCTGCACTAACTGCGACCCATCGACAGAACGCGCGATGAATGGATGTGCCTGGAACGCGGACTCTCGTGCATTCCACCGTTCTTGTTTCCTCCTTCCATTTGCCTGCAGTCACCCGTCCTTCTCTCTCACACCTTTTTATTTTTCATCTGTCCCCTTCCTATGTTTTTTTTTTTTCTTTTCCCCCCTCTCCTTTTCCCAGGAGTAAACAAAGACTCAGGGGGGGGGGTTGTTCCCTCTTCCAGAATATTCCCTTCTCTCTCTCTCTCTCTCCACAGAAAGACGGCCCAGCTCACATGCTGAGCAGTATGACTTTCCCAGCTGAGATAGCTCATACTCTGCTCAGACATGCTGCAGCCAGGAAAACGGTGCAATGAGAGCAACAATTAAATGAAGCTCCTCAGTATTTCTTGATTAAGATATTCTTTGAAACCAAATTTAATAATGTCTTTCATATGCCTGTTAAGTCATTCATCTGATTCTGATAAAGTTATGAAGAAATTCTGAATCAATGACGTTAAAAATTACGTTGGAGATGCTCTATGTTCATTTCAGAAAGTGACTTCAGAGGTTTAACGAGATTCCTTAACGAGCCTGTCTTCCTTGCCGCGAAGTTGTGCCCGTTGTTTGACTCGTCTTATTTCCAAGTGAATGGCATCCATTTCGAGTGTATAAATGCAGTAATCCAAGCATAAGGGGGAGAAAAATGAGTTCTGTCCGCAACGTTCTCCTTGCTTACCAGCTGTTAGTAAGTAAGGGCCCTTCTGGTTTCGGATGCGATGCACGGTTTCCATGAGGGCTGAGGGACCACTATCTTTGGCCCAATTTGCAGATCCGAATCTCCGAAGTCCATCTGCTTTCCTGTGGTTGGGATTTTCCCGCACTTTCCCTCAGAGCAGCGTTCTGTAGGAGTGGAAGTCCTTCCCAGCATGCACCTGGAGGGTACGGCAGGTCCCTGCCTGTACTTGAAGCAGTAGCCTTACAGCCTTTCCTTCTTAACCTTGACTCATCCGCTAGACACTAATGGAGTGCCGGTCCATTTATTGTGGTTATGGATTTCAGTGTTGGTGTAAGCCTTGCTGCTGTGTATGAAACACCCTGATACTGCTATAGTCAAGGCAGCAGACGTAACGTAGAGAAGAAGGACAGAAGGCGGGAAGGATGAAAAAAAGTAGAGACCAGTCTGTGGTGTTGGAAAGGTCTGGATGTACATATGTGTCTGAAAATGGTACTGCCTGGGTTATTTTCAGATCCGGGAAGCCCATTCTGGTAATGACTTTCTGATGTTCTGCTGACGGTCAGATCGTCGTAAATCGACGGATTTATGCAGTATTTAGGCCGTTGCTGAAGTTGGTCTGTGATTTAGTGAGATTCAGTAGGTCTAGGTCAGTCTAGGTGTATTTTCTATAGAGGCTGAGGATTAAGGAACACTGTAAAAATGCCTGTCTTTTTGTACTGATCTTTTGTAAGTAAACTGCAACTTCTTTCTTGTGACCTTTTTTTTATCAAGGAAGGTCCTGTTGGTCTCTCCCTCTCTTTCTGATTGACAGTGTCATTCGTGGGTGAGGGGGGTTATCGTTAATTTTTCAGCAGGAAGTGACACGTGTACGTTGAGGTCCCGTGGCTCGCGGCCCCTTGCCTGCCGCAGCTGACCTGAGGGTCGAGTTGGACCTGGCCTCAAAGAGAGCACCAGACGCACAAACCTTGTCTTTACTGTCCGTCGTCCGGCCAGAGCGTTAGAAAAGTGCTTCTGAAATCTTGGCCCACTCCGTGGCGGAGTCGCAGTTTAAGTAACGGGTCTGCTCCGCTCCATAGCCAGGCTGCAATATGATTACGGGGGCGGCATCCTCAAGAAGCAGTAATGGCTTTTTTGGCACGGAGTAACATTGATGGGTCACAGTGACACTGATGGGTTTCAGTCAGGCAGACCTGAATGAGAATTTGTTCCCTAGGCCACTTTTTTTCCTCAGCTTTGTCTGACTGTACGTGCTTGAGGCAGTGATGTGCAGTGGCCCCGTTCTCATCTGATGTGTGTTTTTAATTAGTCTCGTCTCTCTCTAAAACACTTTAAAAGAGACACCAGTGCATCTTATTCAGTGTTATCAGAGTGTGAACAGGTTGGTGGTCCTTTGCAGCTATATGCAAAAAGTCACACATTAATTCATTAATAACAAAATACTATACAGCACGTGTGTAATACAGTGTGTCTCAATAAATCTATAAAATCGGAAGCTAATTTGCTTGATGTAATGGAGCACACACATAGAGCTAAATTTGGAATTAAATATGCAGTAGGGCAGTAGGCCCACCAGTTATTATGTGGGTGCTGTAACACAGGCCGTAGAAGCAAGATAGATGGGAAAGAAATTTATTTGGAGGTAACAGGGTTTTTAACATTTGTATAATGTTGCAAAAATTGACTGGCCAGATGGATGAAATGGGATTAAACTCCCTTTCGAGAGGAATTTCTTGGTTCGGAAGTGAAGTTTTCCAACCGGAATTTTAATTAATTTGAGCCACACACGCCATCCATCTTAGCTTCCATGCATCAAAGCAAGATTTTTAAACTAACATTGTTAGCGAATGTGAGTAATTCTCGCTGAAATGTGAATGTGCATCTGCAGAGGAATGAGCCAAAAAAATAATTTAAAAAGAACCTGTCTGAAAACGTCAGCTCTTGAAGACTGTTTGAGATGGACTCAGTGGAAGTCCATGTCAAAGTTCCAGTGCTCCGCTAATCTCCACCGGACTGGTCACGCTAAGAGTAGGAACACCTTCATTCCATGTATGTATATCACTAGTGCTTTCCAATGGAGCCTAGGAAACTGTCACCTTCTTATAATATTTTCACAAGTGTGCTTTTATTTAAGGTGTCTTTAAATAGTGTTTATAAAATCGAGTTAAACTACTTTGGAACCATTGGTGGTTTGTTAGTCAACAGAATGTTTAGACTAAATAACCGTTGACACGTCATTGTGCTGCGATGAACAATATGATGTATTTTTGTAATGATAAGCACTTGTAGATATTCTACCTTTAAATAAAACTGTATGGTGTATGTTTTCCAAACATAAAATGCTGCTTAAAAATAATCTATTCTATTTTTCAATGTAAATGTGCCTGAAATATGCATTCCTAGAGATTAGAACTGTAAATATGCAAGAGTTGTTCTCCATGTGACCTTACATTATTAAAAAATGGCAAGCCAGCCTGCAGCCTGCGTGGTTATATGATTATTGTATGCCTTGTCACTAAGCACAAAGTACACAGACTGCGCTGCTGACTGTTGAATGCCAGACATATATCAGACACTGAAGTGTCAGATATGAGGTATCGTATGTACATTGTCTTAAATTATAAATAAATTCATAGCTGGCCTCTGTTCATTAACTGACGCCTCTTTTAACTATTGGTCAAGTGTACATTTATTCTCTGTAAAAAATTTTTAAGATAGTTCATTTGAATTTCAGTATTACTAGGCCCACATATTTAAAATATGTATTTTATATTAATACACACTTTTTTTCTTAAGATAAATAATAAAGAAATGCAAAAAATGTGGATATTTAATGTGTAGTATTTCTCTGTACTGCTATCGTGTCCCAGTTTTATTTGCACATTCAGACGTTAAACAGGCCAGCTAACACTTCAGAAGTCCTTTTCGCACCTATGTGAAAAGCTGCAGGCTCATTAGGTTAATTGCTTCACATAAGGACCAAAACAGAAGTATCTGAAGTTAGCAGGGACATATTGTCTGTTTTGGGGGGGAGGCATTAACAAATTCATCAAGCCCCCACATCTTTACGAACTTTTAAGGTTAAATAGATAGTGTTGCCGGTATGAAAGCCGGTGGAATTACAGAGACTTGAAGATCCCCAACCCCCTTTGTTCACTTCCATTAAACGTTACCCTTGAAGGAAAGGGCCTTGTACTACCCAATAAAGTCCACTACACGGATAATGAGAACTTACTTATGGAAAAAACGAAATTTAGCTTTTTTTTTTATTGTGCTCCATAACGGTATTTCACATGGGAATTACTATTCTTTTCTATTCTATTCTACTGTTTTCTTTTCAGATATTTCAGTTAAAATCAGATTTATAAGCATTTAAAATCGGGTAATTGACGTAAGAAATTAACTGGGAAATTAAATTTTCTGGTTCCTAGACTATAATAGGATGGGACTGGAAGGTTTTTGAGTTACTCTCATGTCTAATGCATGCTAACGTTTCCAGCTCTGGATATTTTTAAAATAAAGGTTAAAGTTTTGTTCTGACTAAATTTAGCCAGTCATCTGGCAGTTTTATCCAAAATGGCTCAAAATCTGCCCATGTAGACGGTACAGCTTTATGTACCATATCCCTCCACATGGTTCAGAGCAGCAACCTTTATCAGACAGCATGAACTCACAAACATTATTCGGATATATTATAGTGCACATTAATGCATTTTACAATCCAGTTCAGAAATCTGACAGGCACTTATTTTTTTATATTTTTACAACTTTACATCTCCATTTGCATCTACCAGTGTACCAAATATGCCAATTTCAGATTTGAAAACACACTGAAGACATACTAATAACATTTAAGTGCAAAAAAACACAAGTCATAAAGCAAAAACTGTTAAGCGTGGATATAAGTTACTCGTGAGAAATAATGTTTCTCAGCATAATGAGGAGGATCTGTCATTTCTTAAGAACTTGAACCAAAATGTAAAAAAATCTTAGTAAATGTACGAGTCTTTTTCAAGCTTTTCAGGCTTTGGTGCATAGAAAAGACTGTTAAAACAAATTCAATTTGTCCCATAATGTACTGACTATACCCAGAAAATAGGGTGAATCATGGTACATCTGGAATTGCTATCAATACGCTACATTTGATGAGAAAAGGATGCCCCACGCCATGAATGGTACTGACAGTAATCTCACATTATATTACAAATAACAGCTTACTATTATACGCTATTATATGATTATATGCTGACTTAAAACTGAAATATTTGACTTAAAAAATGTTCTTGTTTTAGTATCCATGTGTAACAGAGCAGGTATCAGGTGTCAAGGTATTAAATAAAAGAAAAATTGGATTAGATTTATATGACAGGGTTGATAATATACCATTTTTGTCAAGTAGAAAAACTATATTTACTCAACCTAGGCCTTCCAGGACGATAAATGGGACATTCTGTGGTAGGACATCATGTCCTTGAAAGGACAGTCTGACAGACCCTCCATATCTGAGACCCCTTGAGCCAATTGCAGACTGTCGTGCTTCCATGATGATTTCATCTGCGCTTTGTCTGCCAAGGATATGGTTTCTTAGATGCTAAAACCGGTGCACATGTCAAAGACTTCAGTGTCTCCTTTTGGCAGGAGATTTGTGAGAAGAATGTGCTGAAGGAGCATGCCCGTTTTTTCAGGGAGAGTTACCGTCTGCGTCTGCAGCTGCTCACGACATTGTGGGGCTTCCGAAGGTCAAATATACAAATCTGCAGATGGCCCACACACCACGAGGTTACCTTTGGTCAAATAATTTTTCGGAAAAGTACTGACAATCTAATTAAGTGCACTATACAGTCATAAAGAAAGTCTACAGTGATTGGATAGGATGAAAAATGTTATTTGGATTTCCATTCGGATACTTGGCCCAGCCGTCAGAGTCCCAGCTGACGTCTTATCGTCTGTCTTCCGGGATGGATTTGTGCTTAAGTGGATTTAATTACAGGAACATCTCTGTTGATCTAAGCTAGGTCTGCCCTTGGTCTTTAACACTAGAGACTTATTTCCCAGCTTACTTTCCATAAAACCCGGATATTACTCACATCAGTACACTCAAGAAGGTTAGAGTCTGAGGGTGATAGATTAGGATCTCCGAGAGTCATGTTGTCCTGCATTCTCTGCGCGTTGACTTGGCTTTCTTAATTAGCATGCCCATTCAGTTGGCAGAACTGATTTGCGTTTCTCTAGAGGACCTATGGTTTTGCCTGTTAAATACTACTGTAGGGCAGGGGTGGAGATTTCAGGTCCAGAGAGTACAAATCCAGACCAAGATTTTGTTTCAACCAACCAGTTGAGTACTCTGCGACTGTGACTCTTTATACTCAACTGGTTGGTTGAAGCAAAATCTTGGTCTGGATTTGTACTTTCTGGACCTGAAATCGCCACCTCTGCTGTAGGGGTATACACCCTTCACGGCCCAACCTGCAGGTAGAAATGAAGGAGTAGGCTCTCGTTCTTGTGAGTGTACTGTAGGAACGGCTCTCCCAGCTGGCTGCCTTGTCCCATCTCCCAGTGCTCCCACCAGAGTGGATCCCTCCAAGCCACATGATTTGTTTGGACTGGCCCAGCTATCTCAGTTAGCAGTGAAAGTTAATGTCAGGGCTGCGTGTTTCGACCTTAGATCGGCTGTTTGTTTAGAAGCACTGAGTGTTGCTTCAGAGCAGCTAAACGTACAATCAGTGGAGGACTGGCTGCCCTTTATTGTCATTAAGCTGCAGCTCCTGTGAAACGGCTGCTCATTTCATGTGAAAATCTTTAATTTCTACCCGGTCCCTGAGGAGAATAGCGGATAAGGACACAGGTTTGTAAGACGAAGGTTGCCTATTGAAATAGCTGAAGGTGCCTCCTGTAGTCCCATTGAAAACGGTGCTTTACTGGAACTGCAGTAGGTTCGCAATCCTGCTATATAAATGGATGCAGCTGTAAATTGTCTTGGAAAAAAATTTGACCTGTAAAATTTAAACCGGTACAGTGAATGTGTTCTCTAGAACACTTAATGGTGTATTTTGTAAGACCACCAGAAACCTTTTCTGCCCCTTTCATTAGTACTATTTAAACACAAAAACCCCACATTAGATGAGCAGTTAATATGGATTGATGGATGGATGGATGGATGGATGGATGGATGGGCAGAAAATTAAATGCAAATAATTTTGCCAACACAACTTTAATAAACTTTGTGTACATCAAAAAACGATCATCACAAATGTGAGCAGCATGGGTGCTAATTGAGTCAATTATGAAGCATTCTGAGCCAGTAGGTCAGCCCTAAAGCCGGCTGATTGGTTAGCTGAGCCTGGCACTTACTGACGCCTCTCAGCTACTTGATGCCTGTATGTTTCTATCATGCTTTCTGCTAGGAGAGCTGCCCTGTTTGGTGGGTCCTGCAGCATGAACAACAGAGACTGCCTTACAAACAGAGACTGCCTTACAAACAGAGACTGCCTTACAAACATATTAGAAAGCTTTAAGGCGATAAAAACGTGTAGCTATTAACTTGGAATTGATGAGGCTGTAGGCAATCTAATCCCATCTATCACCAGGTCTACATCAGGGCAAAGCTGTACTCAGCCTTAATTCCGGCCACCAATTACCTGGGGGTCTAACACCTCTAAGATTACACCCCCTCAGTGTCAGCCACTAATTAAAACTACATTCTTTGCTTTCGACATCATGTCTGATAATGCAGATCATGTCCCTTGTGCCTGGATTTGGTGACTCCATACTTAGGAATGATACGGTTCCTAACAGTCATAATTCAGCAAAATTCCTCCCTAGTGTTGAGTTCCCTAACGCCGATGCTGAACTGCTCCGTTAACAGTAATGAAGTCTGTACGGTGCCAAAGGTCACAGCAGGGTCATGGAGCTTCATGACGTTTGAGCGCACTCAAAGAAAATTCCCAGGATCCAATTGTGCACGCTCCCGTAGCGATGCTGTACAGAGGAGAGGGAAGAGACAGCAGGCTACACTCCCAAAATGGCTTCCGAAAAAAATCATGCCTAGCGGTTGCCCCGGCTTTGATTAGCAGTCTCCATTCTACTACAACTGGAGGGGATCATTAGTGTTATCATGTTACAGAGCAAACAAATCGCCTTCCTCTCCATTCACAGCGGCGCTTAAGCCTCGGCCCCATGATACTCAATTGCCGACTGGAAATTTTTCCCACCTCTGGTATATTCCTCGCTGGGACCTGGGGCACCCTGTGAATTCTCTAACCATCAAGCATCAAAAACAACTGAATATTGCCAGGGAAAAGGCAATTATATCTAGACCTAGACTCAGATTCAGATATTTCACAGGGGGCCCTTATGTGAATAATTTGATTTCCTGTGACTATTAGGGTGACTTGGTGGTTCAGGTACAGGTACAGGTCTGGTACAGGGTTTGAATCCCTTTAATCTTTGTATATGTGTGGAGTTTTATGTTCTCTTCTCCCTGTGTTGTGTGGATTTCCCCCAGAGAATCCAGTTTCCTCCCACTGTATAAAGACTTGCACGTAGGCTGACTGGTGTCTGTAAATTGCCCATAGAGTATGACAGAGTGTGTGTAAGTGTGTGCATGTATGTGTCCCGTGAAGACCTGGAGTACCATTGAGGGTATACCCCGTATTTTTCCCGTGCTATCA